CCGGGACCGCAGCCACAGAAGAAGAAGAAGAAGAAGAAGAACCTTCTGACATCCAGCCTGTAGGTGGTGGTGCACATCAAGCTGACACCCGGGACTGCAGGGCCCAGAAGAAGAAGAAGAAGAAGAAGAAGAAGAAGAAGAAGAAGAAGCTTCTGACATCCAGCCTGTAGGTGGTGGTGCACATCAAGCTGACAGCCGGGACCGCAGCCACATAAGAAGAAGAAGAAGAAGAAGCTTCTGACATCCAGCCTGTAGGTGGTGGTGCACATCAAGCTGACAGCCGGGACCGCAGCCACAGAAGAAGAAGAAAGCGCTCGTGCAGAAACCAGAGAAGAAGAGCGTGTTTACGTCTCGACGCCAAACATTCAGTATTTTATTTAGCAACGTGGAACGAGTCGGGATCAGCTCATTCTTTGGTTGTTTCTTGTTTTTTAAGGAAACGTCCGAATACAGTTGAGGTCGACACGTTTCTTTTTCCTGATAGCGGTAGCGGCTAACATTAGCATACTGAAGCGTAAAGGAGTTAAAGCATAAAACAGCAGGACTTTCTTTCACTTCCCGGTTAAGGAAATAAGATATTTAAGAAGATGACTCGTCATGGGAAAAACTGTACTGCCGGAGCTGTTTACACCTACCATGAGAAAAAGAAAGACACAGGTGAGCATGATGGTGCCGACAGGAAACACTTCATCAAATCCAAAAAAAGTTCAATCTGCTCCTCTGGACATTCAACAAAACAAAACAAAAAAATGTAGAAACGTTTCGTCTCTCATCCTGAGGACTTCTTCAGTCTGAGGTGCTGTATTCAGCTCAGTCTCTTAAATAGCACCTTCTCAGAGTGGATCAACCAGTTTGCTGCTGACAACCAAAACCAGCTGATCACATGCTCAAGAAGGACCATCAGCCTAACAATGGATCATTAGCACCTGATGGCTGTTTACTGTTCACAGGGGGCTGAGTGATACTAGCAATCACAGCATTGTAAGAGGGGGACAGTTGAACCTGGAGGCTCCGCCCCTGTTTAATGATGGACGGTTTCTTTTCACAAAGATGGCCTCCTTTACTCCTCTCTCAAACCATCGTTCCTCTCTGTCCAGGATGTGAACATCTTCATCCCTGAAAGAGTGACCGCTGGCCTGGAGATGAGTGTAGACCTCAGAGTCCTGGCCTGATGGTGTTGATCTTCTGTGCTGGGCCATCCTTTTGGCCAGTGGCTGTTTAGTTTCCCCGATGGAAATATAAAGAAACAAAAACAGCTACATTATAAAGTGATGTAAAACACTAAAATCAGGAACATGTCTGTTGGTTTATGCCAGGTGTTTGAAGCCATTTAACATTTTATTTAATTAATGTATTTATTCATTTAAAAGAAACAAAATTTTAAAAAATCATCAAAAAGAAAACATTGAATGAAAAGAGTGCAGAAAGAAGAAAAAAAATCTTATATCTGCCCCTTATTTAAAAAAAAAAAACTTTAAACAGTCACTTAAATTAATCACTTTAATATCCACTTTAAAGCTAGGAATAAAAAAATAAACATGTTTTGTGTTAGCAGAATTTAATTCTAACTTTAAAACTTATCCAACATAATAAAACTTGCTGCCTTTTTGGACATGCATGCATATATTTGTACAAATTGTGCTTGAGAGGAGATTATTACAGCCTCATATAAAATCTATGATGATCAAGATATCGGAACTGGATCGGTATCGGCCGATATTTAGATTTAGGTATCGTGATCGGATCAGAAGTTTTAAAAAAGTGGTGCATCCCTAGGTCTGATGAGACCAAGATTAATTTGTTTGGTTCAGATGGTCTCAAGCGTGTGGTGGCAATCAGGTGAGGAGTACAAAGATAAGTGTGTGATGCCTACTGTCAAGCATGGTGGTGGGAATGCCATGGTCTGGGGCTGCATGAGTGCAGCAGGTGTTGGGGAGTTACGGGACACATGAACTCCAACATGTACTGTGAAATACTGAAGCAGAGCATGATCCCCTCCCTCCAGAAACTGGGTGGCAGGGCAGTGCTCCAGCATGATGATGACCCCAACACACCTCGAAGACGACCTCTGCTTTACTGAAGAGGCTGAGGGTAAAGGTGATGGACTGGCCAAGCATGTCTCCAGACCTAAACCCAAGAGAACATCTTTGGGGCATCCTCAAGTGGAAGGTGGAGGAGCGTAAAGTCTCGAATATCCACCAGCTCCGTGATGTCGTCATGGAGGAGTGGAAAAGCACTCCAGTGGAACCAGTGAAGCTCTGGTAAACTCCGTGCCCAGGAGAGTTCAGGCAGTTCTGGTAAATAATGGTGGCCACACAAAATATTGACACGTCAGGAACTTTCACTAAAGGGTGTACTCACTTCTGTTGCTGGTGGTTTAGACATGAATGGCTGTATATAGAGTTACTTTGAGGGAAGATCAATTCACACTGCTATATAAGCTGCACACACACACACTTTTCATTGTGTCAAAGTGTCATTTTGTCAGAGTTGTCCCATGAAAAGATCAACTTTAATATCTGCAGGAATGTGAGGGGTGGACTCACTTTGGTGACACACTGTAAAACTGTAGAAATATGTTGCACTTATCAGAACTCTAGTAGTGTATACTTTGAAAAAAAAAATTGAATTCCGGAGCTAAAACACTGTCCCTACAATCTTTCACTACACTTTGTCTTCTTATTGACTAATTTTTATTTTCTGTCCCACTCAGCGGCGTCCGGTTATGGCACCCAGAGCGTTCGTCTGGGCAAAGACGCCATAAAAGACTTTGACTGTTGCTCCCTGTCCCTGCAGCCCTGCCAGGATCCTGTGGTGACGTACGTAAAGTAATTGGTTCTGTTCTTAATGCTCCACAAACTAACTGCACTGAATCCTCACCTGCTGCATGTGAAACTTTCTAAATGTCTTTGTTGAAAAAGTCACTTCCACCAGAGTCCAGATGTGACCTTCTGCTCATGAGCCCTCAGTCTCTGTGCCCTGCTCGGCTGTTTTTGAAGCTTTGAACCAGTGACTCTGTCGTCTCTGCAGGAGGTGCTCAGTCACTTAAAGCCAACAGGTTCACCAAGTGATGCTCTTCCTCCTCGTTTATTCAAAGAGGTCTTCTTCACTGTGGGTCCTTCAGTCCTTGCTCTTTTGAACAGCAGTCTGTCCTCTGGTGTGGTCCCTGGAAATGTGAAACATGCAGCGGTCCAGCCTCTCATTAAGAAACCACTCTGAACCCCTCTGTTCTTGCTAACTACAGGACAATCTCCAAACTGCCATTTTTTTCAAAAATTCTCCAGACGGTGGTGTACGACCAACTATCAGCATATATGAAAGAACAGAACATTCTCGATGTTTTACAGTCTGGTTTTAAAGCTCTACACAGAATCTGCACTTTTAAAGGTTTTCAACAACATATTTTTAGCAACAGACTCTGGTGACTGTGTTGTCCTACTGCTTTTCAACTTATCAGCTGCTTTTGACACTGTGGACCAGAACATCTTACTTTGTTGTTTGAAGCAATGGGGGGTGTCAGCGGTGCAGCACTGAACTGGTTTAGGTCCTATTTAGCAGAGCGTACTTTCTGTGTCCGCCTTGGTGACCATGTGACCTCCTCTGCTCCTCTCTTGTGTGGGGTTCTACAGGGCTCAGTCTTAGGCCCCCTCCTCTTCATGCTGTACCTGCTCCCTCTTGCCTCTATTTTTTAGAAAATATGGGATCTCCTTTCATGGTTATGCAGATGATACACAGATATATGTCCCGCTAAAGAAAAAGGACTAACTCTCTGGCCCCTCTGTTTTCATGTCTGGAGGACATCAAAGCCTGCGTGGCTGTGAACTTCTTAAAGTTTAATGAGGGAAAGACTGAGGCGATAGTCTTTGGAAGCTCCACTGAGACTCCCAATGTCAATGTTGGTTCATTGGCCCAGTATATCAGGCCAATTATTACAAACCTGGGGGTCAAAGTCGATGCTGGACTAAAATTAGAAAATCACGTCACAGCAGTTGTTAAAACTAGTTTTTTCCATCTAAGGCAGCTGGCTAAGGTGAAGCTGATTCTTTCTAAGCAGCATTTTGAAACAGTAGTTCACACCTTTGTGACCACTCGGCTGGACTACTGTAATGCACTCTATACAGGGATCAGTGATTCATGTATCTGTCAGCTTCAGAGGGTACAGAACACTGCTACACGGCTTTTAACTGGCACATGAAAGTTTGAACACATTTCTCCTGTTTTAGCCTCCCTGCACTGGCTGCCTGTACATTCCAGGATTCATTTGAAATTACTTTTATTGACTTTTAAAGCTCTTAATGGACTTGTCCTGCCCTATCTGTCCGAGTTGCTGCATCTATACTAGGGCTGCAACAACGAATCGATAAAATCGATAAAAATCGATGATTAAAAGCGTTGGCAACGAATTTCATTATCGATTCGTTGTGTCGCACGATTATGCATCTTTCACGGCGCTGCGGAGCCGTTTTGTTTTGTTCACCTGCAGTTCATTGTCAATGCTGACTGACTGAATAAAGTTTGAAAAAAAAAAACTGCTGCGCGATTTGAACAGAGCGAGGGTCTGTTTTCAAAGGGAAATAATTAAATAAATTAAAATTAATTAAATAAAATAAAATTTTTCCTCCCAGGCTCTCATTGAGGTGGCAGCTTCCGTTTCTCCTCCCCCGTTTTTTTTCCTTCTTCCTGCTCTGCTCTCTGTCTGTCTGTAGCGCCTGGGTCTCATCTCCCGAACATAAATTAATAAGATTATGGATTTGGTATCGTGGGCGTTCAACTCTATTGATAAGATTTTTTCATCAAAACGACAAGGTCATGGAGAACCGGCGTGTCCAGCTGAGAATCACGCTGTGGGGTACGTCATGGATTCGTGGGGAGTGTGGCAGATGATGTGCCTCTCTGTTCTGTCTCAAGAAGATGTTGAAGACGTTTACATATTTGGAATTATGATAGCAGGGTCTCTGCTTTTGGCATCGGCGGGGCTCTGTTTTATCGACTTTTGAAGCAGACAGCGGCAGCAGTTTTGGCCATGGAAAAGCTTCCGAGTCAGCGTGAAGGTCTGGTCCTCGCTGTGGGAACTTTAAATCATCTGGTCTACGAGCTTAACCATAAGGTGGAGGCGATTGAGAATCGCAGACCACCTGCGGCTTCTGGGACTCGTCAGCGTGGTGGGTTCGACCTTGAAGGAGACTCAGCATGGATCAGTGGAATGGAATCCCACAATTAGGCATTTTCGGAACCAGAACGCCCAGATGGACTCTAGGCTGAAGAAAAAACAAATATTAAGCTTATCTGAATCAGACTCCTGACGGCCTCGAAGACAGGCTGACTATCAAATTTCTCCTGGGGCATGAGTACCCAAGGACAAAAGCTTCATCTATCGCCCCTCCCCCGGAGAACTCTCTGGGCAAGCTTATCAGAACTGCTGGCTGGAACAACATCTTCAGAAACTGTGGCTGATCTGAAAAACGCTCATGGACAAATCTCAACACCTTGATGTCAAATGCAAATGTAATCACGTTTTAATTTTGCTGCTGGTAGAGTTTTTTGATGTCTCAAATCGTGTCCTGATGGACAAGATGTGAAAGATCTTTTTTTGTAATACCACTATCTACCCTCATGTTTCTCCCCCTTTTCCTATCTAAGATTATTATCTGATAAGGATAAAATGGCCGCGCTCTCCTGTAGTTGCAGTTTCGTGCACTCCGCCCATCTTTCAGACGACTGTACGTACATATTCACGTTGTACCTCGGTGCAATTCCAATAAAGTTTATTCTGATTCTGAAATAAGTAAATTTTACAAATGACCAACGCAGAGAAAACTGTTCGACCCAAGTCCTTCCAAGGGTGGGAGAACTTCACAAAGATAAAAACTGAGAAGCACGCTGCTTTGAAAATCACCGACACGACACGGTAGAACCACGGAGATAAAACATAAACATGTCGGAGTCACGAGGAGGAGGAAGGAGCTGCAGCTGATGCAACTCTTCATGTGTTGCAGGTGAGTCTCTACAATTTAACACTTTGTTCTGTTTCAAGAGAGAAAACGTAACGTCAGTCTCTCTGGTAGATGAAGCTGCTTGTTTGTTTGTTTATCTGATTAATGACGTGATAGAGAACGTGTTACTTTTTATTTAATGTAATTGGAACAAGCAGTGTTTAAATGTGATTTATAAATAAATCTAACACAAAGATAATAATTTAATGATTAAGCTTCAACTTTTAATTTGTTGGCAAAGTCTGAAGACACTGCAGGTATGGCAGGATGAATTGCATTTAAACAGGAATTAAAGTAATTTATTACATCTACTCAAATGTATGTAATTAAGTATTATATATATATATATATATATATATATATATATATGTGTGTGTGTGTGTGTGTGTGTGTGTGTGTGTGTGTGTGTGTGTGTGTATAATAGCTCTTTTAGCTACTTTTGCCTGAACCTAACACTGTAAGTGAAACAAGGTGTTTCTTGAGTTGCTGTAAATTATGATATAAAACATATTTACTGTCTCATTCCAGAAAACAACAACAAACAACAACATCCTTCATGATGGACAGACATCATGGACACCACAGCAGCAGCTGTCTTCACTGAAACATCCTGAACATGATCGTCACTGACATGAGGCCTCTGTCCATGGTTGAAGACGAAGGCTTCACTACAATGATCCACACTTTTAATTCAGGTTACAATAATCCACACTTTTAATTCAGGTTACAATAATCCACACTTTTAATCCAGGTTACAATAATCCACA